TGGTGCTGATGCAAGCTTTACATTTCCTTTTATTGGTCTGTAGTCTTATTGCGTACGTTGGTGGCACAAATACTGCATTCATATTAGCTATTTATATTAACTGTTTCTAGTTTGGGGGTGAGTAATGTACTTAGCTTATGTTCTTACTATAATGGGAAGCCCTACATCATAGACATTTTAATAGACTTTTAAAATGATTACATTCTACTTAGTTTTACTACCTCTAATTTTTTTCTTTACATTTTTTTTTTAGGATATGTCACTGTGTATCTGTGTATTTTTTTTTAAAGATTTTATTTATTCATTTATTTGAGAGAGTGAGAGAGAGAGAGAGCACAGGAGAGGGGGGAAGGTCAGAGGGAGAGGCAGACTCCCCGCCGAGCAGGGAGCCCGATGCGGGACTTGATCCCGGGACTCCAGGATCATGACCTGAGCCAAAGGCAGTCGCCCAACCAACTGAGCCACCCAGGCGCCCGTATCTGTGTATTTTAATGGTTTCAAATTTCTTAATTATCTTTGCTTTTCGGTTGCTTTCATGTTGGACACATTTGATCAGCAATTAATACGGCTCTTAGAAAACAACATAAATTCAGAATATTTGACTTTGATAAAGAGCTGTGGAAGGCCTGATTCTCATTGCTGCTTTGGCTGTCCTATTTCCAAGCTTTGATATGCTCTTCACTTAGTTCAGTAGCTTGCCAGAGACTTGGTGAGATAAATGAGGTAAAGTGATAGAAAACGAGAGCTCCCCAGGATAGGAACATAGATTAGAAAAAAATTAATGCAAACCTATTTTTGAAATGAGGATAGATGCTTTTTATTTTTGATCTGGTTTTAACGGTTTTATATTGAAAAACCAAGCCTGTCTCTGGAATCCAGTGGATATGGACCAAATATGAAATGTTAAGAAGTCATTGTTGTTAGTATGGGCCTGACATGCAAAATTTGACGAATAGAGGCCCATGTTGATCCAAATAAAAGTTGCTCATTGTCAGAGTGCAGCCTGTTGCAGACTGTTTCCCTCATTCCCCAGGAAACATCATTAGATATTAAATACATTCCTTTCTATCAAAGATATGGGGCCCTAAGCTTAGGTCAGAGTTTCCTAATACAAGAGAAACTGTCTTACCTAGTATAATAGGGACTACTGGAAAATCTGTGAATTAACAAAATTGGTTAAAGCAGGAGATCATCAAAATAATATGTATATTTTAAATTTATTTCATTTAATTATATAAATGTGGACTTGCTTGCCAAGTTTTGATGTAGGGCCAACACCTTTTCTTTGAGTCCAGATCTGGAAGAATTCCATGTTGCCTTTCAATACAAACTACACTCACAATGCATCAACCATAATTTCTAGTATCAGTTACTCTTACTCTAAATTAGATTAAGAATTTAAAGATATTTTTTTAAGCAATCTGAATGCAGACTGGTATGATTTTTTTCTCAGTCTTTTATGGTTGTCTTGGAATGAGTGAATTTTTAAAACTATTCACTTTTATTAAATCTCCTTTTCACACTTTTATCAATTTCCCTAATATTTTTTTAAAGATTTATTTATTTGGGAGAGAGCATGAGCAGAAGGGCAGAGAGAGAGGGAGAGAGAATCTCAAGCGGACTCTGCACTGAGCTTGGAGCCCATCGTGGGGCTCAGTCTCATGAGCCTGAGATCACTACCTGAGCTGAAACCAAGGGTTGGATGCTTAGCCGACTGCGCCACCCAGGCGCCCCCAATTACCCTAAGAAATACAATTAGCAAAAGTACTTTTGGGGGGAAAAAAACCCAAAAACAGTCATGAATGTTCATTTGTGCTGTGGGTATCAGTAAGTTTTAGAGGGGAGTGGGAAGGGTCATTTAAACTCAGCAGTTTAAGTTGGAGGTCAGTTTCCACTCTACACGGATATATAGAATTAACATTAGACAACACCTAGTAGGACCTTAATTTTAGTGTGAATTACCATTTCAACCTTCAGCTGAGCAAAATGTGGTCCTGTTCTTTTGACAGGTTAGTCTCCAATGCTTTAGCCCTCTTAAAAAGAGAAGAGACATAATTTTGGATGCTGCATTATGCACTAATATTTTGGTTTTCTTCTAACAAAGTGCTTGGAAAAGAATTAGGAGAATTGTATGAAAATGGCAGATTTTCTCATGCACGATATTGCGTAACACTGGGGAAAACTGTTTTATTCTCACAGTGAAATGTTTTGGTGTTTTCCCACCAGTGTTTCTCTGACTTCTTCTGGGAATAAAAATAACAATGTGTTGATGATAGTGTCTGTCCACAAAGTTTCCTCCCTGAAGATATCCCATGGTATTTCAGTCCTATAGAGGCTTTTCAGGAGTGCATTTGGAGATATCCTAAAATTGGTGACATGGATTTCAGCAACAGTGCCAAAATAAAACTCCTTTGTTTCTGAAAACATCACTAATAGAATTTAATGATGTGCTAAAAAGGAGTGAGATGAACACAGTTGGGGAGAAAAAAGTGATTCAGAATTCACTGTTACTGCAAGGAGCATTTAATTTGAAGTAAATGTTAAATGAATCAACTGTACTCTCCCAGATGTTTGTGTGAATAAATTTTTTTTTAAATATAAGATAAGCACTATTAGAATTTTTAGTATACCGGCTTTGATTCCTTGCAGTTCTGTGGTAAACAAGCACTTTAAAGATTTTATTTATTTATTTGACAGAGAGAGACACAGCGAGAGAGGGAACATAAGCAGGGGGAGTGGGTGAGAGAGAAGCAGGCTTCCAGGAGAGCAGGGAGCCTGATGTGGGGCTCGATCCCAGGATCCTGAGATCATGAGCTGAGCCGAAGGCAGACGCTTAACGACTGAGCCACCCAGGCACCCCTAAACAAGCACTTTAAAGATTTATTTATTTATTTATGTGAGAGCGAGCAAGCACGAGCAGCGGGGGAGGGGTAGAGGGAGGAGCAGACTCCACACTGAGCGGGAAGCCCAATTCGGGACTCAATACCAGGATCGTGACCTAAGCTGAAGGCAGACACAACCTACCGAGACACCCAGGCACCCCAAACAAGCACCTTAAATTCTAGGTCTCCTCTCTGCCCCCCACCCTTCACAGTTTGCAAACTTTAATAATTAGAGGTAAGGCTGGTTAACTGTAATAATTTTTATGCATTCAAGATGTGATTCTTCTTTTTCATAAATAATAATGTGTTTTTTGGCTTTCTCCTGCAAAAGTAACTGTCTGAAATTAATGAAGAAAGAAAGTAGAAGACATTATGTTCAGAAAATCATGCTTGAAAACAATGTTTAGTATGGCATCTAGACTTTAGCAGGAAACTCGGATTTAAGTCTGAGGCTGACCTTAACCCATGACCAATGGAATCTAAGTGTGTTTATTTTTACAGTAGCTTTAATTTGGGGCTTGCAAGTTTGTTGGTTTGTTTTCTCATTCAATTTTGGGGACCCTGAAGCAGTATTTTAATTATAGGAATTAAGCTATTTATAATTTTCATGGCATGAAGATCAGCAAATTTTGTTTTTTCTTGGCTATATTATGTTATCTTACTGAGAAATGTGTGATCTTTGTGTCTAACAATGCACTTAAAAAAAAAAATCTCCCGTGCTGCAGTGCTGGAATTCTAACAGAACAACTTCACTCATCTTTCCCCCAACTTCAAAAATAAAAAAATCTGTTCTCACAGAAATGCTGCCTTGAGTTAAACAAAGGACAAGCAGTTACTGGAAATGTTTTCTATTCAGTTCTGTTGATGTATATTCATTTCAATTTGTTTATTGCATTCTAGATTTTTTTCTTCACTTTGCTGATAATTGCACTTCATAATCACATTGACCTTTGAACTGAGTTGCATTGAATTTTTATTACCTTCAGCTGTGTTAAATCCTACTTGTAATGAGTCCTTCCCTATAGCAAGTTTGCTGAATGAGTGATGAAGCGAGGGGGGTTAGTATCAGGTTCAGTTCTATCTCAGTTTAACCGTGCTCCCTTAAGTGGAAACACTAATGTATGTTGTTTTCTTTCTTTTTTCTTTTTGCTGTGACAGTTCCTCTGTTTTTGCTAGGAAAAAGGAGTTATTGATGTTTAAACAGTAGTTCATAACAAAGTCGTAAGTCGTTTATAATCTGCTTTGGAACCTACAGTCATACATACCTTTTCCAAAACACACATACTCCCCTTTTTTTGAAGCCAGCCTCCTCTTGGCTCATCTTACTTTCAGTATTTGTGTGGTTGGAAACCAGAAGCCTCAGATGCCACGGGTCATTGACAGATTATCAAATGTTGGCATTGTTACGTTTGGAACTTTATAATTATGCTAGACGTGCATTTATAATTTTTTAATTCTTCCATTGAAGTATATGCTTTTTAAAGGCAAGAACTATACATCTTCTTTAGTATATACTTATTGCTTACCAAAAAAAATCTAATGCTGTGGTTGCTTCAAAGGGAGAAGAGGCGGCTAAGCGGACAAAGATCCAGGCTCTGGCCTGACTGCAAACTGCAAACAGAATGTCTATTTTATATACCAGGAATTTGGGATCAGAATTGGGAGGAGGGCAGAAATGTTCCTCCTCCTAAAAAAAAAAAAAAAAGTGAAAATGACTGTATTGGATAGATAATTTCAGTATCTTGTGATATTATCTAGTCTAGCCGCCTCATTTTACAGGGTTGGAAACAGACCCAGATCATTCAGCTGTTAGGGGCAGATCTAGAATTACAATCCTTCTGTTCGGACTCCTTGGCCAGTACCCTTTAAAGTACACCGCAACATGTATGTTATCAGAACCGAGGAGTATTCCAAGAATACTACGTAGCACCTGGTAATAATAGACACTCAGTAAATCGTAAGATGATTTGTAGTTAATTACCTCTAAGCCAAGTTAAAATAAAAAATGTCATTTTTGTTTATGATCCCAATGAAATGTTGGCATCTTAGAAACTCTGACTTGGGCCTATTATAAGACTAAGCCAGTTGTTATAACAGGTTGTTGTTTGTTATTCTTAGGATCACCTGCTGCTACCAGCCACGACCCACAACAAGACCTCAAGACCAAAGATGTCAATAGTATTACCAGCAATAAACATAAATGGTAAGTAGAAATTTGGATTTATGAACAACGTAAGTTTGCTTTGCTTAATCAGTATTCTCTGGATTAACCAAAAGCCATTTAAAATGTTTGGTTGGTCAGATATATATCCATGCATTAATTTTGAAACATTTTTCCACTTTTTTCACAAAAGATTATTTTTAAATTCCTATACTCTCTTTAAAAATAACTTTAAAAAATTAAAAGATTTAATTTAAAGTTACTTTTAAAATTACTGTATTTTTAAGAGAAAAAATGCATTCTCTTATTTACAAAATTGGAAAGGTTAGCATCTTGACTGCTCTACAGACTTACTGTAGCCTTTCTGGTTATACATATAGTGTAAGAATTCCCTGCTGGGTTCTGAGAGTGAATTTGTAAGTTGGGTTTTGGGGGGACGCCTGGGTGGCTCAGATGGTTAAGCATCTGCCTTCGGCTCAGGTCATGATCCCAGGGTCCTGGGATCAAGCCCCACATCGGGCTCTGTGCTCAGCAGGGAGCCTGCTTCTCCCTCTGCCTGCCTATCTGCCTACTTGTGATCTCTCTCTCTCTCTCTCTGTCAAATAAATAAATAAAAAATCTTAAAAAAAAAAAAAAAGTTGGGTTTTGGGAACTCAAAGCAGTTACCTGTATTATGTAAATAGTGACATGATTCCCAGACCAAACATCACAAGCTATTTAGTCCATAATACTGATGAATTTGGTATTGATAGTGTCACTATTCCATTTTGTTCTCCTACTAGTGCTGGGTATTACATAAATTACAAATAATGCTGTAATACCTTGAGACCATCTAAAGATGTTAAGGCATCTTGCTTATAATCTAGAAAGAAAAATAAGCCCAGAAATCACTGTACTCCAAAGAGAAGGTCCCATAAGGAATATACAAAGTACTAAAGAAATTTAGTAAAGGAGAGATTACTTCCAGCTGGGTTCTTCATGGAAAAGAGAATCTCTTACTCCCAGTGCCAGCTGCGTGCTATAAATGAGCACAGTGTATATTGTTGACTGATTGCTTTCTCTGACACATCATATTAGGCTCTAATGACACTAGGAGGATTGGCTGTCCTTCCGAATTCATTTATCTGGTATAATGAAACTACTAGTATACTTTTTATCTAGTAGTAAGAACCTCATAGTTTACGAATAAGCCAAAAGGTGAAGAGCCTTTTGGACTAACCTGCAGTTGAACCAGTCCACATTCTGATTAATGATCATAGTTAAACAACCAAATATAATTGTTAAAAACAAAAACAAAAACCTGGGATTCTAGATAAATCCCAGTAAAATTTAGTCTTAGAGAAAAAGTATTAGATATTCATTGTACATTTTAAGACCATAGAGGACTATAGAATTTCATTGAGCTGTGCGCAGACTGCTTATTAGAAATGCTTAGAGGGGGCGCCTGGGTGGCTCAGTTGGTTAAGCGACTGCCTTCGGCTCAGGTCATGATCCTGGAGTCCCAGGATCGAGTCCCGCATCGGGCTCCCTGCTCGGCAGGGAGTCTGCTTCTCCCTCTGACTCTCTCATGCTCTATCTCATTCTCTCTCTCAAACAAATAAATAGAATCTTTAAAAAAAAAAAAAAAATGCTTAGAGGTCCTAGGGGCCCGTGTGTGGCTCAGTCAGTTGAGCGGCTGGCTCTTGGTTTCGGCTCAGGTCATGATCTCCTGAGATCATGGGGTCGAGCTCCACATTGGCCTCCATGCTCAGTGCAGAGTCTGCTTGAGATCCTCTCCCTTTGCCCCACTCCTGTTCAAGTTCTGTCTCTAAATTAAATAAATAAAATCTTAAGAGGAAAAAAAAAAATGCTTAGGAGGTCATGATCTCAGGGTTATAAGATTGAGCCCCGCCTAGTGTGGAGCCTGCTTAAGATTCTCTCTCTCCATCTCCCTCTGCCCCTCCCCACCCTCCCTCTCTTAAAAGAAGAAAAAAAGAAATGCTTAGGAGGCAGCTTGTTTTATTTTTTTAAGATTTATTTATTTATTTTAGAGAGAGTGTGTGTGTGTGCATACATGTGCAGGGGGAGGGGCAGAGGGAGAGAGAGAGAGAGAATCTCAAGCAGACCTCCCCACTGAGCACAGAGCCCTATGTGGGGCTCAATCTCATGACCCTGAGATCCTGACCTGAGCCAAAATAAAGAATCAGACACTCAACAGACTGAGCCACCCAGGCGCCCCGAGGCAGCTTTATAGATAGAAAATAAAACATTTGTTTTGCTAAAGCATAAAAGAATTATGACATTTTCTTAGTCTTACAAAGACATTTAGAACAAATTAAAAAAAAGCAAAAACTGTAACATTGAGAAGAACTTATCTTTCTTCAGTAAGAGCATACCTCCAAAGCTTTCACGGAGCAGTCCTACTACTACTTCAGGAAGGACAGTATATTCCAAAGTGTACTGTATTACACTCCAAAGAATGTGTTTAGGAAATATCATTCTTATTTCATAGGGACCTGGGTTTCTCTGCTTGAACCATGATAGATTTAAGTTCTGGTCAGCTTATGCTCAGAAAGGCTATTATCTAAGCTTCAACAAGACAGAATTCACTTAATTTTGTTCTGATATTGAATTCTTATGCAAGAGAATGCCTGGTTTTATTTTATGACAGTGAGTTTTCCATATTTACTAAGCCAAAAACAATATGATGCTGTTTGACTCTGTTGATCTTGGCCAGGGGACTAATTTTTGAAAATGAGCCTTTCGTGGATTTGAAAAATACAATCATTAGAAGATCATTTCCTTTTTAATCTGGTTTTGATTTCTTTATAAATAAATTTAGTTTTTTCCTTTTTAGGGTATAGTAAACTATTTGAAAAGTTAAGATTCAAATGCAAGAAATACTGGTTGAATATCTACCACGTGCCAAGTGTTGTGCTGTATCCTTAGTCTCTTTCTGAACGGTCCCTCCACCTTCTTGCTCTGAGGGTTAGAATCTGATTTTGCCTCCTCACCTTATATGCCTCTGAGCCTACAGGTGGGGTGGGTATATCCTTGCTCCCCACTGCAACTTCCAAATGATCTCGCCATCTTTCCCCTTCAGCCCCCCTCAACATCTTAAAGTATATAATGTCAGGCTTTACTCCCCTTACTCTGGTTTGTCACTGTCTTCTGTCCCACCTTCACTGATGACTCTCCATCACTGGTTTTTCTATCTCTCTGTGTAACTTCAGCATTCACAGAGGATTCATCCAGCACCCTGGCCTCTTCTGATCCCATTGTCTTTTTTTCCTTTTTTTTTTTTTAAAGATTATTTATTTGAGAGAGAGAGCACGTGCACAAGCAGGGGGAAGGGCAGAGGGAGAAACAGACTCCCTGCTGAGTGGGGAGCCAGACTCGGGGCTCGATCTCAGGACCCTAAGGTCATGAACTGAGCCAAAATAAAGAGCTGGACACTCAACCGGCTGAGCCATCCAGGCGCCCCAATCCTGTTGTCTTTTATTCTGTACCCCTCAGCCTCCCATCCACATGGTCATACCATGGATCTCCTCATCATCAATAATGGCACTGCTCTTGAAATACCCTCTCCAAGCATCCCACTCCTACTTATCTCTTACTGTAAACCCACACTCCCAACTACCCTCTGACCTCACAATCTCCAGGCCTCCGACCCCACCACTTTTTCCGTATGGATCACATTCATAATGGTCATATATTCCTCCTTATCTAGCCGAGATTCCACCCCCCCCCCATACTTTCACCACTCTCTTGCATCCCCCCTTAGTTACTCCCTGGCTTCTTTTTTTTTTGGGTCTCAGTTGTCTGTAAAAATCCCTCCCTAGTTAAACCCAGCTGTCCTCTTTATGCCTGCTCTCAAGCAGCTGAAAATTGCCGGAAAATACCATCTAGTCAGGACAAGTAGATTGACTGCAAATTTATGACTACTAATTCCAGAGGGGCATTCAGTACTGCCAGTCATTGCTAGTAATTTCACTTGCCTTCTGTCTGAAGCAAGAATTTCTCACCTCTCTTCTCAAATCCCCAACATCCCCTCCACCCACCCCCTCAGCTGATGAACTCACCAAATGCCACGCTGAGAAAACAGATGTACTCATGTCAGAGCTACGTCATCTTCCGCTGCCGGAAGCGCAGCTCCTTCTGCCGCGCACAGACCCTGCCCGCCCTGTTGTGCTGGGAGAAAAGTCTCTCCTGTTGGGTTCTAGAAGCTCAATTTGCTATTTATTAGATACTGGGCAAGTTATTTAGTTTTTCTGTACCTCAGCTTCCTCATCTGTAAAAGGAGATATTAGTAATACCTTTATTTTAGAGTTGATGTGAGAATTAAATGAGTAAAAATGCTTTAAATAGTGCCTGGCTATTTTCAGCGTGGACACTCGTGCCCCTTTGTCACCATCATCATCCACATCACCTAAGGTGATTCCTTCCTTTTGGACCCTGTGTCCCAGCCCCTCTCACGGTTTCAGAGACTTTGCTTCTACACTGATACCCTTTCTATCCTGCGCCATCAGCCTCTTCTCTACCGGTTCAACATACAGAACGTCTTCATACTACCTTTGGTGTGGGGAGACTGTTAATGCCACGTCCTATTTCTCCACTGTCCTTCAGGGAAACACTCTTGAAAAGAGTGCCTTGTACTCGCTGCCTTCATCTGCTTATCTCCTGGTCTCTCCTCCACACTCATATGTTCTTTCTTCTGAGCCTTGTGAGACTAGATTGCAGACATTCTTATTTTACCCCCAAGTACCTGAATATGCATCTGCTACAAAAGGGGTATTCTCCTACATAAGCACAAGAAAATGACCACACTTAAAAAAAAAAAAAAAAAGTTTAGCATTGATACTTTACAGTTTAATATATAGTCCATATTCATATTTCCAATTTGCCCCTAAAATGCTCTTTATAGCTTTTTGTGGGGAGGGATACAGAATCGAGTCAAAGACCATACGTTACACCCACTTGGCACACCTCTTTAGTATCCTTTCATCTTAGAACTCTTGCCTTCTAAAAAATTGTCTTTTCTGACATACACACTTCTTAGAAAC